GTTTTTTGCTGCATGTCCACCAAATGGAGGTGGCTGCATAAAATACTGTTGTTGCGGCACAAATGGTAAGTTTGGTACCGCCTGGGCACTATGAAAGCCGGACTGACGGGAGATGCCGCCTGACTGACTCTCATGGTACGACTGAGTATGCCTCATCGAGGCATTTCGCAAACTGTCTTGAAAATTTGAAGTAGAAGCCGACTCTGACAATCGGTCACTCTTCTTCTGCTCTAGCAGTAGCCGAGCATCTGTGAACGTTTTCTTTGACCCGTCCGCCTGAATATGACGAACCGGTTTCCTATTTCCCGTAGGATAACGGAATTTTGTGAAATCAAGAGTAGGTGGCTCCCGCTTCTTGGATTTAGGATGAGGAGTCGCCTCTCGCCCTTGAACTGGCTTCCTCTTCAGTGAAGTGGAAGGTTTTTTGGCCGACTGCTCTTTGACTGAAGCAGGCGGCTTTTTGTTGATCAACTCTTGAATCTCTCCCTTGAAGTCCCTCATGAAGGTCATGAGTTCGTTCCTTGTGATGGGAGCAGACCCATCAGTCGGCTGTTGCCGAGCAGGCGGTGCGCCTGCTGGCTCGCTTCCTGTTTGAAGATGCTCCCGTTCCTCCTTTCGGTATAACGGGTACGTCGGGCCCTTAGGGTCCCGTCTGGAGCTGTATGAGTTTCCACTTCAAATTCACTTTCGGTGTCATGGTCCGACTGAACTTGAGGGTCGTTTAGGGGACGCCTCTCTTTAGGAGTCGGTACAGACTTGGATGCCATCTCTGAAGTACTCTCCCCACAGACGGCGCCAAATGTTTCGGGGTTTTCTGATGTCCTGCGGGAGAGTTACAATTCCGAGACTGGAACCGGACGCCTGTACCTGCAAAATAACGGAGACTCCTGAGAGCTCCGCCTCCAACGGTCAAGTTAGTACCTGATTAAGGAGTAATTAATACGGAAATTAAAGTAATAAGACCTCTCTAGGTGAGAGTGTTTAATGTTGGTAATCTGCTTTGTTAGCGAGATTAGCCGGTTATTAGTGTTCCGTAATGTTTCTGTTCTTCTCTATTCTTCAGGTGAGATTAATTGCTTGATCAATTGCCTCTCAATTGCTTGCTCCCTTTTAATGAGGATTAATTAAGTATTTATAGTCTTGAGAAGCGTGCCACTCTCTAGGTTTAGGGTAAACCTAGGGCTGACCGGGCCTCTAGACAGGATTGGGCCTTGTTGGCCGGTTTTCCCATTTGGCATGGGTGGACACGTGGCGTGCCTCGATTGGTCCGTAGAGGACGTATCTGTGATTGACACGTGGCAGGCTCCTATTGGCCTTCGTGAAGGACACGTGGCGGAACCTGGTTGGTCCACTTGTCAGACGGTGATTGGTGGATAAAAATCCCCTAATCACTATTCACACCCGCTCAAAATGGGTAATTTTCACTCGTTTTTGACTCCCTTGTGTCCAAACTTTTTATTAATGTTATTCTTGTATTTCATGTGTTGCAGTTTAATGACACGGTGGCGGTCATTTTCATATCATCTCCAGCAGCGGCGATAATTGTAGGTATGGTGCTGGATAACACAATGAATAGTGAGGAAGAGGCTTCGAGGAATGACAGTGGGAAAAATTGGTGGGAAAGGTTCATACAGTTTACTAAAGACTTAAGGAATGCTGAATTCTACTCTTTGCCTTGCAGACTTGGCAATTGTTTCCCATCCTTATAGTTTCGCTCAAAGATTAAGTGTCCTATGTACTCCCTTTCTACCATTCCAAAGAAAAATACTTGTAGCTTACTATGTCATTAACTTTGTTATTATTTCTATGATAGATTCATAGATTTTCTGCACTGCGTATACCAAATACCAATCATTTTAATGTATGAATTTGAAGCATGCCATTTACATGGGATAATATCTACTCTGTAGCTTGTAAGAATTGAGTATAACTGCAATCCAATCAAACCCTAATATGCTTCACAAAAAATAGGTTAAACAACTTATTTTGAGTTTGAATTAGTTAGGTGAAAGGACTTCCCATGGGACCAAATGGAATTTTAGGGAAGGGAAGGTAGAGGATGGATTCTTCTTATTGAAATACCTAATAAACGAACAGAATAGGTACATAAACACTCGTTGATAGCAAATATTGCTTATATACATACCATGTATATGTACACGTTCCATAGAAACATTCGTTGATAGCAAATATTGCTTATATACAAACCATGTATATATGTACACGTTTTATATAAACACTCGTTGATACCTAAGACAAGGTGAATTTTATCATTAGAGTTTTGGCTTATGGATAGGCAAATGACCTCTTCAATCTTTGTAAAATTTATTTTGCGATCTAGTCAACTTATATAGAAGGAAGATTTCGAATTTCCTCAACAATGCAAATGTTAGGTTTTTCATTGATTTAACTCATTTAAGCAATGTGCGGAAATAACCTTTGCCCAAACTCTCTTGTATAGTTAAACATATTATTAAGGAAGGAAAAAGAATGGGAGGAGAGGGAAAAGAATAGAAGATCGAGAAGCGAAAGGAAAGAAACTAAAAATTATTCAATGCTTGGTTTGATGAAAGTTGTAAAAGGACAACTATTATAAATCTTTTATGTAAAGCACAGCAAAAGGGAAGAGTTAGAGAGATTGAAGAACCTTGGTTATTACTTTTAGGAACTAAAGTAAATACATGTTATAATTCCACATTTTTAAAAAAAGTCTTCAAGTTTACAAAGAGTGCACTTAGGGGGGTGAATCACGACATTATTATATGCTAATAAACCCTATATTAACCCAAAGGAGACAATCTTTTTCACTTGATTTCTTTTTTTATAATAGGAAACTTTGAAAACATTTCTCCTAGAAATCCCCTATGTTATATATGTGACTTGAAATCTAGAGAAATGGTAAAGGTTTGAATTTGAATGCACATATCTCTCAATATATAAGTGATCTTTAGGTAATGCATGAATGTTGGAGATAGCTTGTTTCAAGAGATTTTCAACGACTAGTCATTTACACAATCATTCCAATTAGAAATGAGAAAATTATGGCCATTTTATGAAGAACTCTCGAACCTAGAAATTTTCTGGCGAATGCTTCACCGTTTACAGGATAGCATACTTTAAAGAACATTTCCTAATTTCATGTATGCTTATGATGACTATTACAATTATACGCAGGAAATACTCTAAGGTTTATTAGGGTTTTCTTATGTTATAAGAACCCATTGAAAGATCAATTAGATAAAAAAAATTAAGGCATTGAGAAATTATGACTCGGTGTATATATTATTCTTTGTTCTTTTTCCATTATAGAGAAGGGAAGCTCTTGAACCTCCACATGTGGATGTAGGTCTAATTTAACTGAATCACGTAAATTATTGTGTTATTTGTTTATCTTCTTTATTGTTTTTCCGTTCTTTTTTATTTAATTAATTTGTTTCGCATTAATCAAACACAACATCACCAATTTCTCAACACCCTAAAATGAAACACAACTTTATATCTCAACTAGATTAGGCCTCTTACAATCCATACAACTTATTACTAAATATATATATTTAATATTATTAGGGATTCTAGCGCGTGCGATGCGCGCTATGGCTAGTCTTTGAAAAGAGTTTTTACAATTGGCCCTAATGAATTTGCAATTTTTGCATGGTGTATTAAATGGGGGCAATATGTAAACAACCATTTTTTTGTAAGAAAAAAAAGAGAGTTTCTTAAACTCATAAAAAGGGATAAGTATATAAACAAACATTTTAAAGGGTATAAATGTCCTCACACTATTCATAAGAGCTCTCTCATACTTTTTAAAAGGTAGGGAATCATCTGTTTTAATTGAATAAGACCATATGTTTATAATCAAATCAAATAAGGAAAAAAAGTATGAAAATGACCATTGATATTCACCTAATACAATGATAGTAACAAAGGCTACTCAAGTGCTAAGAAGCTTGATGCAGCTTAAAGGAGGTCTCGGGTTCAAGCCTTTCCATATGTGGAAACTATTGTTGGGAGACTCACCTACTATAAATCAAGTGTAGAATACAAGTTGGATCTGAATGTTGTGGGGGTAAAGTTTCGTTGAACTAGGTGGGATTCTTAAAAAAAGTAATAAAAACGGGATTCGAGCATAAAAACCTAGGATTCGAGGTAGAAGGCTAGAAACTCTACATGTTGAGAAAATGAGCAAAAATACTTCATTCGTTTCGTATCAGTTATTTTGAGATAGAAGAGGTATTTGAAAAATGGATATTATGACGTATCTTATTAAACCTCCACATATTATATATATATTTTTTTCTTAATCATAAAACGAAGTAAAAATAAGTTACTTCATATTTACATAATGTATAAAGTTAAAACGTGAATTAAAATACTCCCTCCGGTTTTTTTTTTTATTTGCATCACTTCTTTTTTTTTTTTTTTTTTTTTTTTTTTTTTTTTTTTTTTTTATATTGCATCACTTCTAGTAACCTTATACTATACTCCCTCCATTTTTAAATACTTGCTCCATTTTTCCATGCGCGGAGTTTTAGGAGAAATTGAAGATGGTAATAAAATATGGAGGTAGTGGGGTAGGAGAAAGAATAAAAAAATGTAAAAAGCAAAAGTACTTGAGAGAATTGGAGGAGAGTGAATATGAAATTAAGAAAATATGATTTATGTTGGGTCAACTACTTGAAAGAAATGAATTAAATATTATAAAAGCTTTTCATATAAAGAAATGGAGCAAATATTTAATAACGGAGGAAGTATTTTATTATTTCTCTCTTACTTTAAGCCCCACTCAAATAATTTATTATTTTTCTCTCTTATGATCCCACTACTTCTCTCACATAGTTTCACTTTTATGTTCCCCACTTTTATTCACTCACATTATTATATTATACCAAAATCATTATCCTAAAACTCCGCGCATTTACAAGTGACGTAAATAAAAAAAAAAAAACCGAGAGAGTAAGAAATACACCATAAATAATTTTATTTAAAAAGTGACACAAATATTGTTTTTTAAAAATAAAATCCCAGGCGGTGTAGTGTTGCTCTGTTGTGCATGTCGTTGTAGATGAATCAGTCTCCTCAAAATATCTCTGATTTGTTTGTTCCTTTTTGGACTCTAAAACTATGTCGTCCTTTTATTCATCGTCACCAATATTCCAGGTTCATAGCTTTGGCAACTTGTACTTGCTCATTTTGTCGACATCGTTCCCCTTTAAAGCAATTTATTTGTTTTCCATCAAAAAAAAAAAAAAAAAAAAAAAAAAAAAACTATTTCTTCAATCCCATAATCCCCTCTAATTGCTCGTCAATTCCAGGTAAATGTAAATCTCCTTAATTTTCTAGTTGAAGCATACTGTGCTACTATAATAGATTATTATTCAATTTCTTGCCATTTTGTATAATTCGTATGTGCTTTTAATTTAAAATTGAATATATGTTTTAGTATTCATCATTAAATTTGGGTACTTCTATTAATTATGACGAAATATATTACCTGATGATATGGTACATGTTTTCGTGGGGTGTAGCGTCACAAAAGTAGTGACATAGACGGGATTTGATGTCATAGACGGGATTTGATTTCAGTTCTTGCAGTGGTTGCGTATCACCTTTTGACTTTTAACAATTAAACAAGTTGGATTCGAAACTCTAGCTCTAGGATGCTTTTTATTTATTTATTTTTGGCCTCTTTTGTGGGGTGCAATAAAGGGAGAAATAGTGAGGGAATGCATGTCTGTGTTTTAGTTGAATCGAATTATAATTAGCTTTACAAATTATTTATATTTTACAAAAAAGCTTGATCATAATTGGTAATGTATCCAGGATTTGATTGGTATTAGTGGATAAAATTAGTGAAAATGTAAGTGACTACATGTTTAGACATTGAGATTTGATTGTTGATGGATATGTTTGAATATTTGATCCAGGATATTGGAATGCCCATTATCAAGTTAGAGGAAATTGTTAAGTAGTAAGATTAGAGTTGTTGGATGTTGAATTTATGAAAAGTCACACAAGGGTATTATGTAAGGTCCCAAAATGAGTATTTGGGTATTGAAAATGAAGTTGAGGGGTCTATTCATTTGCATATCTGGTATTGAGGTTGACAATGTGGATTGTTCTTGATCTTATGGGGTGGTAGTATAGTTGTTATGATTTTGCAGATTTAAGGGGTGCATGCTATTGGGAACCTTTTTTTCTTATTGCTATTGTACTCTCTTTGCCCCTTATTATTGCTTCGTTGAGGTGAAGTTGCTTTTTTTAATTTTTGGTTGAGGGGAGTTGATGAGAGAGAAGAGTGATTGGAACAAATGTAAGGGATGTGAGAGAAAAGTTGTGATCCGTACTACAATTTGTGGTAGGGATGTTAGGGAGCACGCTGAAAGGGACGACCTTAAAAGGAAACTGAGCAAACATTAAGGGACAGAGGAAATAAGTATCTTTAAAGAGGGGAGGAGGAACTTCATATAATCATGTTTACTTCGTTAATGCCTTACATTTGTTGCATATGTAGTCCAAATATTTTCATGGAAGAGTTTGTTCCATTGTTGAATCTTTAAAATTATATGGTCTTTTGAGCGTCAAGCTGCACTTTGGTTGAATGAGAAACCTAAGCATTAGAAGTGTGATTTAACTGTTATTTTCAATAGAAAATGATGGAAGTTTCAGCTGCTTCCAAATGTGGTTTAAACATCAATTTCTTGAGAAAATAGGAGCTTCATTTTCATTCAAGTGGCACTATGTATTTATACTAGAAGCTTGCTTCAGTGTGATGTTCATATATTTCATCGTTCCGTATTTCAGTTGGTTTCAAAGTGATATATATGCCATTCCACCAATCATTTGACACCTTGTTGCTTTTTCTTTGACAGATGGTGTCATCTTCACACATACTCAACAATCAAGTTGATTGTGAGAATGAGGAAAAAATCTGCACAGGAAACAGGAAAGGGAAAAACCTATGGAAGAAAGTCAAATATGAGTTTATAGATTATCATAACTTGCCTGCATATCTTAGAGACAATGAGTACATCTTGGGTCATTATCGATGTGAATGGCCACTGAAAGAATTGCTATTAAGCATCTTCGCCATCCATAACGAAACTCTTAATGTTTGGACGTAAGAGTTTTACATTTCTTCACTATCATTATTTTATGGCCATGTTGTCTTGTACCATCGGATTTCATGTGAGGGAATGGGGCATTGTACATTGTTGTATTGATGCATGATGCTCCTTGGATTTTTTTTTTTGAAGGGCAAAGATTAGTGCAATATTATTAGGTAAGGACATTAATACCATCAAAACATAGGGGAAAATCTCACAAGGCCTATACTCCTTGGAATATGATATATTTGTTCTATTCACCAGCTCTTAGTTTCATTTATTTGTTTCTATTTGCTATTTTCTGAAAATCTGAAGATTTCCAAAATCATTTTCATTGTTAGTTGGAATCACTCATTTCAACCATAGGTTTAGTTCGTTCCTTGCCTGTTACTTCATAATTAAGGGGAACAAAATGGGTTTCTTAAGTTGCTTTCTCTCTAGCATGATGTGTAATTCAATATTCATACCTTCTTAATTGTCGTACTTAACTGAAATGGTTTGGTGATTCTAACTGAATAACAATTGCTGCATACACTGAATTCTGAATGTGTGTTCTGTTGCCTTTTCTTTTACTTATATCTTATAGATTCATCTCTTACAGATTTCGGTGTTTTATTTGCCATATTTGTTTTGGGGGGGTTGGGGTGAGGCTTTTTGCCGTGCATCTATCTTACCAACTACTAACTTGCATTGCAGGCATTTGATTGGCTTCTTTCTTTTCCTATCCCTGACCATATACACTGCAACTACAGTCTCAGATGTTTCGGATTACTACCCTCTGCAACACGTTGCTGAGATGCTCAATAAAGCTGGTTTGCATGATGTTCACTCAACGCTTGTAAATTGCCTCACATCCTTATCTAAGATGCCTGATTTCGGTACGCTAAGTGGTGAATTGATGGCATCCCTTCCGTATATCAATTCACTGTCATCTGTTTCTGGGTGGCATATTATGGAACATTTGTCAAACTGCTTGCCTGAGCGTTTCTCTCATTTAAATGAGACTAATGATCCTTCCATGGTAATATTTCGCTCTTTGGCTCTTTGCTATACCTCATAATTAGCTGTTGAATCCCTTGAGCCTTTTTAATGGCAAATTGTTTTACTGCAGTGGAGTGTGAAAGATAATTTGATCAATACAATTGCACCTTTGCCATCCCATCCAATCACAAGATGGCCTTTCTATGCCTTCTTGGGTGGTGCCATGTTCTGTTTGCTCGCAAGCAGCTCTTGCCATCTGCTCTGCTGCCACTCCAAGCGGCTTTCTTATATAATGCTGAGGTTTGACTATGCAGGCATCGCAGCCCTCATTACAACCTCATTCTACCCTCCGGTTTATTACTCCTTTATGTGCAAACCATTTTTCTGCTACCTCTACCTATCATTCATTACAATATTGGGCATTGCAACCATTGTTTTCTCTCTCTCCCCTGTCTTCCAAAATCCAGAATACCGGAGCATTCGTGCTTCCTTGTTTTTTGGTATGGGCGTCTCTGGTGTTGCTCCAATTCTACACAAGCTGATATTGTACTGGCACCAGCCTGAAGCATTGCAGACCACAGGTTTAGAGATTCTGATGGGAGCATTCTATGGCTTTGGCGCATTAATATATGCCAAAAGAATACCCGAGCGATGGAGGCCAGGGAAGTTTGATATTGCAGGGCATAGTCATCAGCTCTTTCATATTCTGGTGGTTGCTGGAGCTTACACACACTATCATACTGGACTCATGTACCTCAAGTGGCGGGATTTACATGGTTGCTGAAAGATTTATATTAATCGTAGGAATTATTCTCTCATAAAACTTGCTATCAATTTGTAAGTAATTATATGAGAGCTAGGTGATGATCCAATGGTCTAATGCAGTAGCCATCACCTTGACTTCTCAGGTCATAATACTCGGTTTCTAAGGCTAAAAATGAGGCCGACAGGCCACCAAACTTGCTGAGTTGCGGCTAAAGACATTTACTAGGATATCTGGCTTTGTGAGTTTGATCTCTGGCTTTGTGAGTTTAGTCTTGCAGCATGAAATTGTACCTCTTACGAGTTGTAAACTTGTGAGGGCATCTATACATAGTTATATTATACTCCGTATACTATACTAAAACACTTGCAGCTTGATTCAAGAATCACACTGTGGTTTACAGTGCAAAATTTACTTGAATGTTTAATTATTATCTATACATACCGCATCACAAAAAAATTAAAAAAAATGCTGCTTGGTTCAACTTTAAGTCTTTAACCTTTTGAAACCGTTAAACTTATACTCCCTCCATCCTACAATATATTTTCTGTTTTTCTATTTTGGAGACCCAAAATGTTGTTCCTATTTCTATTTTTGGATAGTATGTAAATATTATTATATCCTCATTTTTTTTTTTTTAACTTTATTCATTGAACTTTTTAATTTACCCTTAAATTATTCACTTGCATTGTACTTTTTTCCAATTTTTCTCTCTAACTTTTGTCTATAATTATATTTTTCACTTTTTTTCCCTTCAATTATCCACTTACCTTTTACTTTTGTCTAACTTTTGTCTAGCTTTTTTTTCACTTCTCCTCCCATTTCTTAAATTTAGTGAAAAAAAATACAATAAGAACTATATTATGGGACGGAGGGAGTACTTGTATTTAATAAGTAGTAACAAAATTATTTCTATTGATTCTAATCATGTACATGGTTTTTTTTTATCTACTCCATAGAGAACGTTGTACTATTCGTGAATAGATCTAGACCATTAGAATCTTGAATATAAAGGTTGAATTTTCTTGTCATTAATATCATAATTGTGAACAAGCCATTTCTGTTGCTTTATTGCCCATTTCGAGCTTAATTTGGAGCCTTATTTATAGGGGCACCTAAGAAAATTAATCGGACAATTTTTTGGCTAAAAAAAAATGGGAAAAATACACTTCAATAATTCCAACTATTATCGATTTATTTCTAATAATCCCAACTAAGGTTTATTTTTTAATGATCCTAACTATGACCTGACTTTACCTCCAGTAGACCCAACCGGTCAACACCAAGTCAATGACTTGTTGTAACACGTAACCAATACACGTTTCAGCACGTGATTGGTCTATAATTAAAATAAATAGATAAATAAAAAGACTAAAAACCTAAATAGCCACCACCTCCTCCCCTCCCCTCCCGCCACCGCAAAACGCCACGGCCAACCCCCAACCCGTCGGGAAACGACCGACCGTCTCCCCCAACCCCCGAAAATGGACGGCCGACCCTGGGCGATTTCGAGGGTGTAGGAGGGCTGGAGGAGTGGCGCTGTAGGATTTTTTTTTTTTTTTTGTTTTAATTTTCCGGTGAAGGGGAAGGGAAGGAAGGAAAGTGGTTAGGGGCTGAGGGTGATCAACTGTGCGTGTTTGGGGGTTGGGAGGGTCGGCCGACTATTTTCGGGGAGGTTAGGGAGGTGGCCGGGCGGTTTTCACGGTGGGGATTGGCTGAGATTTCACGGTGGGGGGTTAGCTGGGATTTCACGGTGGAGGTGGCTGGATAGTTTTCTGTTTTTTTTTTTTTTTGTTTTTTTTTTTAATTTTTTTTAATATTTGGCCAATCATGTGCTGACATGTGACATTTAAAAAAAATTACCCTTTTAGCAGATAATCGATTTTTGGGACTGCTGGAGGCAAAGTAAAGGGATAGTTAGGATTATTAAAAAAAAAATAAACCTTAGTTGGGATTATTAGAAGTAAATCGGCAATAGTTGGGATTATTAAAGTATATTTTTCCAAAAAAAAAGCACAAAAATCGAAGCATTTTGCAAAAAGTAAAATGAGGTTTATTTAATGCTTTTTTTAAACTAGGATCCTAGAGAACCAAAATGACACCAAAATCTTAACTGGATAATTTTTCGACACGCAAATTAGGAATTTTCCTTTAAGGTAGAGCAGTAACCTGCTTACAGTTTTCCTGACGGAAATCGAGGTGGTAAAAGCTACTTCCTCCGTTCTTTTTTTACTTGATCCGTTTTGACTTTTACACTATTCACTACCCCTCCTTTGACTGTCTTTTGTGAATAATTCGTATAGAAAAACGTATTCATGTTTGATCTTTTTGAATTCGTCTCAATCAATATTATCATAATATATTATTTTATAATTTTTACTTATAGAGAATTAAAGTTATTGATCATTAAAGTTTTGCATTGGCAAGCGTTATAAAAGAAACAAGTCAAGCAAAAAAGAACAGAGGAAGTATGCCTTTTTTTTTAAATAGTGGTTAAAATCAATAAACCTTTAGTAAGGTAATTAAAATCAAATGGTGGTTTTTTAAAGGTGGTTATTGTTTAATTATTTGAGTTAGGAGTAAGGATTTTCACCCTGTGTGAGGTCAATTTAGGATAAAATCCTTATTCCTAATTTTTGATTAAAACATTATAGCTAATCCATTACATCACGAAAACAAACAATCAAACGTGTGGAGGTGGATTGTCATTTTGTTAGAGAAAAAGTTGATTTGGGTGTTATTAAGCTACTATGTGTCTATATGCATTTATAATTAACTAACGATTTAGCTAAATTACTGAAGGTGTACAAAAATTTTTGTGACAATATTTAACAAAATTATGAGGAAACATCTCTTGTAAGCAGGACATTCTATTAGAATCCGATGAAGAAAACAGAATATAGAGATGATCTCTTTAGAAATGAGGGAGTACATTCCTTTATAAAACAAGCATAATAGGGTGAGTGCATCAAGGCGTATAGGACCTATGTATTTCACATGTACATAGGAGGATAATTTGAGGTTTTATTATTTGTTTTTTCCCTCGCTTAATGGTTCAGTGGTACATTTAATGTACCATTATCCATGTAGTGGTACTTTTTGCAATCAAATTTCCACCACTGTTTTTTCACATGTTTCCATTATTTAAACAATGTCGTCCTATTTGTTTCATTGGCACGTGGGCCCTATGTTCCAATACTTCTCCTAATAGGGTATTTGCTTATTATCTATATGTGCAATTGCATACTTTTTGCGCAACTGAGTTTTTATTGAGGAAAATCCTTGATATTTTATGACCTCATCATTCTATCGTTCATTTTCTCAATTTTGAATAGTTAATTCAAATCATTGCAAAATCTTTTATAATTGCAAATTTGCATTATCTTGGGCTTCCACTTCCTTGAAATTTTTTATATATGCCCAGGTGCAAAATACATTTAAGATTATTTTTTGTTCATTTGATAATTAAAAGAGCAATAACTGTTTCGGAAGTTTTATTTTATGTGTCCTGCGGGAGAGTTACGTCACCAACATTGGATCCACTTCGCCTGTACCTGCAAGCAAACGGAAGCTCTCGTTGTACAGAGTTCTGCCTCCTACGATCAAGTTAGTAAGAGCCGAAGTTGAGTAAAATGCGAAAAGTAAAGTGAATCTTCTCGGATCCCGAGATCAGGTGATTTCTTTGCTGTGAGAGAATTGTGTTTGATGTAATAAATGAATGTGTCCCCAAAATGGGGTAAATGTCCCTATTTATGGGCATTGGGAATTAGTGCCCTTGTCCTATGTTATCAACCTAGGTAATTGGGTTGCGCCGTTTTTACGGCGCCTCGGGATTTGTGCCTTTGAAGGCCGCCATTTCCCTGATGATAGGGGATGCCATGTGTCAGTCTCTGATTGGTCCCCTTGGGACCTCTCCTGAGGTGACACGTGTCACCTTCGAATTGGGCCACGTGGACTGGGTATTTTTACCCAAATCATTTGCCCCTCACAGGATTGACGTGGTATGCCACGTGACGCCTATGACACTTGTCACTTAGATAGTGGTTAACAATTTTTAATTGTTCACCTTATGGTTAAATTACAGGGATGCCCCTGAATTTACCTCTCTATATATAGAAGTTTATACCCTCATTTTTGACATTTTCATAAAACATCTAAAGAGAGAAATTAGAGAGAGAAACTCTTATCACCCTCTGACATAACCATCTGACATCACCGTCTGATACAACCGATCTAGGCCTGTGAACTCTTTCTTTACACAAAGCTTTTGAGGTAACCGTCTTTCTCCCTACTCTTTCCTATCCTTTTTTTACCGTTTGTGCATATTGCTTTGAATAAATGGCTTCACCAACAACACACACGGCACAGCCTAAGCTAGTAGTCAGCCGATCTCCCGGTACGGCTAAGTCTAGGATTGGAGGTGCCGTCTTTGGGTGTTTGGATCACCCTTGCTCTTCCCCGAATCCGACCGTCTTTGTGTCTATGTAGGACACTATGACTCGAACTAAAATGGCGGCGCTTGACCCAGAATATAGGAAAGACGGCACGTTGGAGGTGCTGGTTGACGAGGTCTACGACCATCCCCCTGGTGCACCAAGCACCCCAAGTCACTCCATATTAGAGGAGTCCAAAGAGAGAGAGACGGTGGGGAGTCTGACTCAAGGTCAGACTCTGAAGAGTCTAGTAGCTCGCTGCAAGAGGTAGTGAGGAGGATGAGGCGTCCTCTTGGCCTAAGCAGACGGATCCATTTGGGGTTCACATGTCTGCTAGATATAGAGCAAGTATGGAGACGAGCTTAACCGCATTCATAAGCAAGTGTCCCCTTGGGGAGAATTATGGAATTAGAGTGTCGCCTAAGGCGGACACAATTTCCTAGGAGGACGACCAACCAAATGTCGACTACTATTTCGGCTGCTATGAGGCGGCATTCTTAGCCGGCTTACGCTTCCCCCTTCATGATGCAGTGAAGGCCATCTTGAGGGGGTATGACCTAGGTGTATGACAACTCACCCCCAACTCATGAGTGAACATCCTTGGCTATGTTGCCACCTGCAAAATGTAGAACATAACGCCTGGCTGGGAGGCCTTTGCCCATAAGCATTATTTAAGCCGTGCTCCAGGCAGCTGGCGGGCGTGGTATACTCTGACCATGCATCCGGAATACTTAATGACGCTTGACAAGTGCTCCAAGTGGACCAACTTGAGAAATAAATTTTATCTTGTCTCCTCCCTCAGCCATCGCGAGAATAATGAACTCCACCGGCATTAATAAGAATTCGGATCTTCTAGGCAAGAAGTATGCTATGCCGCGTGTCTTAGACGAAGGTTGGGACCAAATATTGGAGCCGGATTTTTTCATGGTCACCACCATTCCTCTGTTAGACGGTGAAGAGATAATTGTACCGAAGAATTGGGTACCCCACC